GGGAAAGGTTTGAGGCATGTTTAATTAAAGACTAAGGTTAAAAATGACACTAGGTGTATGAAGGTTAAAGTATGTTATATGGATAATCTGGATGAGCTAGAGTTTGTTCAAACAATCTCAGCATTCTATTTATAAGTATATATCCTCATTAGGACTTTTTAGCGTGATAAGTGACTTACTTATTTTTTTAACCTACTTTGGGTTGGTTATCTTTTATCTGTGTATCCATGACTGTTTGCAATGGCAACTCTGCTGGTTGTCCGCTGTGGGTATCCACTACTTTCTTGCTTTCTGTTTGAGTAAATGACTCCATGTATCTTATTGCAATGATTGTTGTGTATGAATTCTATGTTTTGCGATGGACAGGTGTGTTATGTGTCCTTTGTTTATGACTTTTAATAGCAATGTAGCCCATGGAACAGTACGACAGGGGAGTGGGCCTTGACAGGGCCAGGAGTTAGGCATGGACAGAGTTAAAGGGGTGGATATCGGTAGGGGTGGGGTTTCAGTCCCAATCATTTATAACATGCCTATTTTGTGCAGTGGCCAACTTAATCCAATCTGCATCTACCTGTTAGTTGTCTGTCAGGCTGGTCTGGGTTTTCTGCTTTATTTTCCAGATGGATATGATTGAAGAGTTCCTGGCTAGAGTGCGTGCTGCAGTGAGGTATCATGGATTTGCATGGCTACAGGAGAGGATTGGGGAAGCAGGGCAATCAACGGCGGCCGCGGATGTTCCAGGGCGCCGGTCCACATGGAGGACTAGACCTCCACAATACCTGAGTCCCAGTGTTGGCTACCGGGGGGGAGGAGGGGGTGAGCCTGGGAGCAGACTGGAATATTCAAATCCGGAACAGCGGCCTGCACCGGTGGATCCTCCTGCTACAGGCCAGGAGCAGGGGGTCGTGCAGCCATGTGTCGCTGTCAGTAGAGCCCCCTGCTGTCAGGTGGCTTGCAGGCACAAGACTCACAGGAGGACGGTGGGCTCCATGGTACCCAGGAGAACCACCAAGAAGGAGGATGCTGGAGGCGCCCCCCCATTGTCCCAGTGAGTCGGCCTCGAAGAGCCAAGTAGCCAATTCTGGGTTGGGGCTGGCAGGGATGGATTCTGGGCTCAGAGATCAGTGGGCCAGGGCCATTACTTCACCGGGAAAGGGGTAGGTCGGAAGTTGTGGCCCCTGTTGCTGAAGGCCAGGCCAGGCTGTCAGGAAGAAGACGGGTCGGGGGCAGCCAGGGGAGGGCCTAGTTCACGCCAGGAGCGGGCTGAGAGCCAGGTCAGGGATGCGGGCCAGCTGGGAGCGGCAGCGCACAACTCTAAGCGGCAACAGCATGCCAGATTGTCAGTGGAGGGACAGTGGGTATGTGGCTACACAGGAGGGCCGGAGGGGGCACTCTCATGTGAGGCGTAGTGCGTACTGGAACGAGGGGAGTGTAGAGCATCACGGGGACAGGCCCAGGTGCTAATTCATTGTCAGGGGAATGCCGCTTGCCCAAGGACAAGCTGACGGCACTCCGCTTACTCGTGGCATCGGTCAGGTGACGTTGAGGGTACTGCAGTCCCTGATGGGCAGCCTCAAAATCAGTAGATTCTTCGCCCAAGCTACGGTTCCCACATCATTATGTGTGGGTTACGGGCCCATGAAAAAGGATTTGGAGGTTTGGGATACTTTCCCCCGGGATTTCAATGGGAAGGTTTTCTTTAGCGAGGCTACATCCTCGTTGGAAGATATGGAGATATTTATGGATGCCTTGGGTAGTATTGAGTTTGGAGCATATTTTGCAGGTCGGTGGCGTGCGGAGGGTTGGCCGAATGCATGGCAGGGGAACCCTATCATGCTGAACTTGGCATTTCTGGAATTATTCCCATTGATGGTTGCCTTGGCTCTTTGGGGGAATGTCTTTTGGGATCGGAGGGCTGATTTTTTTCATGGAACACATGGCGATGGTGCAGGCTGTCAATAACTTGACGGCCTCGTCTGTTCCGGTGATGCGCTTGCTTAGGCATTTCGTATTGTTGTGCACGTCTTGTAATGTTGTTTTCCCGGCTCGTCACATGCCTGGGTTGTTGAATGTGGTGGCTGATTCCTTGTCTCGTTTACAGTGGAAGCACTTTCGGTCAGTGGCGCTGGGGCCGCAGGAGGAGGACCATGTCTATCTGGAAGAGATGTGGCGGCTCAGAACATCCTGCTTGGAGGGTACTTAAGGAACTCTCTGGCTCCAGGCACGTGGGCAGTGTACAACACGATCTGGAATGAGTGGGACGAGGCTGTAGGTTGCACAGGGGTTGCAAGTGGGTTGCACGGACACCCTCTTGTGGTTTCTCTGCCGCTTATTCATATAACGGGCATCCCCATCCGCAATCGATCGGACTATGGGGGGCCCTGGCTTTCTTGTTTAAGTTGCAGGGTTTGGAGGCCTTAACCAAGCACTTCATGGTTCGGTAGGCATTGCGGGGGTTTCAGAAGGGTAAGGTGTCAGGGGACATTAGGAGGCCAGTGTCCTTTGAGGTCCTCCAAAGGTTGGTTTCAGCTCTCCCAACAATTTGTTTCTCACGATATGAAGAGGTGCTGTTCTCAGTGGCTTTTGTGTGGGCATTGTTCTGGGCATTTCGGTTTGGAGAACTGGTGAGTATTAACAAAATCGGAGTCGGGGGAATTCAATGGTCGGCTGTGGACCTGGGGTCAGACAGGGCGTCGATTCAGCTTTGACGCTCCAAGACCGATGTGCTCAGGAAGGGCTGCTTAGTGACTCTCTATTCCCTACTGGGCTCAGTGACATGCTCGGTGTCATGTACCTCTATGTATCTGTCCTTTCGCCCACAGGTTGAGGGTTGTTTTCTTTTACACGAGGATGGGTCTGCCCTGTCCCATTTCTAGTTTTGTAAGGTTTTCCAGATGAACCCTATGTCTTCACAGCAGCAGGGAGTGGCAAGGTAAATTGGCAGCTACCTGGAGTAGGAAAGGGAGGCATGGATAGGTTTAAGAGGATTTACCCAGGAGTTTACCTGGTGGAAGGTTCGAGCCCTTGGTGGCTCCGAACCTGGTGGAGGAGTTTACGTGGTTGGTAGGTTCGAGCTCCGTACCTGGTGATGTAGGAGTGTCTCTGTACACCCCTACAGTTAATAAGTTGGTTATGGGGCAGATGGAACGGCCATGTTATGTACATATGCCTATTGTAATATTATGTTTATGATGGGGTCATTGCCTGGGGACATTATGTATGGGGGGGGATTATGGTGATAATATGCCATGTTGGTTGGTGGCAATGACCCTAATTGTTATGAATTTTGATATATGTTTAAAAAGGCTGTGAACAAATAATTCCAGCAGTATAAAGTGGTGTCTGTGGTTATTGGGTTCTGGGCTATGGGTATAGATATGCCATGACACGACGGTGCAGATGTCATGAGTAATATTTGCATGTCACTAACGCAAGCTTAGAGATTTAAAACAGGTCAAATGACTCTCAGGTCATATCAAAATACACTGAATGAAATTATATATATATATATCTATGTATATCCCCTTAACGAACGTGGATGTACTATGTTCTTCCAACAAAAAAACGGTAGTTAAGGACCGTGGGCGTACTTGGTATGACCGCGGCAAGTAGGAGCCCTGGACTTACCTGGACCGGTGATCCGCGACGATCATGGTCGGGTGGACTGCCGGAGACCACAGCAGTACCCCTGCAGCAGCTCCGGCCACCCCGGCCCTCCAGGGTCATGTGATCACCATGATCACATCACCGCAATAGGAGTCTAGGAGCTGCCAGCAGGGAGACTGTCTGAGCTGTCATGCAACTCTTGACCATTCCTCGGTGCTTACAACAGAGGGCCCTGCAGTATCTGACACAGTCTCATCACCACTCCCAGAGGCAGTGTCTGTGGCGTCAGAGTCGGCTGCTAGTATATCATAAGCCTCCTCAGCAGTGTACCTTCTAGACATTATGAAGGTGTAACTTTAACAAACTTTTTTTAAACTGTTTTTTTTCTTTCTTTTTTTTATATATTTTTTTAAAACTTTTAAAAACTTTTCAGAACTTTTCTAAACTTTTCGTCTCTAACCAGCCTAACACTCAATTTCCCAAATTCCCACTAAAGTCCACCCACTCCAGCTAACTAAGGAATTAATGTTAAATTAATTAAATAACAAATTAAATCAAATTAACCCCTAAGGGTTAAAAAAATCTCATTTAACCCTTGTGGGTACAAAAAAAAAAAAATTAGATCACAGTTAAATACTGTGATCAGTATACTGATCACTGCAGGCAGTGATCAAAAGGGCAGGGAAAAGGTTAAAACTGTTTTAAAAGTTATAAAATTACTTTTAAAACGCAGATACACTTTATACTAAATTGACACACAATGTTTCAGCACCGATCCGTCTCTCTCCACTTCTCAAACCACACAGAGGTGGAGGGAGGAGGATCAGGAATCCCAGCAGCACTGTGATCGCTGTGACTGGCTGTCACAGTGATCACATGTGCTGGGACAGCTCTATTGGCGGTTGCTGGTCTGCCTCTGACATCGAGGCACCTAGCAACAGCGTTAACCCCACGATCACTTGCGATCGCGGTGATCTGGCGTTAACGTTAGTAAATGACGGAGATTTTCCATCAACGGGCCTTAACGCACGGACAAGCTTGACAGAAACTCTCCGTCTTCGGTCGGGAAGGGGTTAATATTACTGGCATTGTCCAGTTTCAACTAACTCATCTGAACAGTAACACTATAGAACAGTATATATGGTTGCATGGTTTTAAAATCTTTTTTTTTTTGGATAGTGACATTCATGGATTTCAACTAACTAGGGGGATAGTGACTCCTGGTGAACAGTGTATAAACTGCAATCGCTTTAGAATAATGGACATACACATTTTTTCAGGGCTATGCCCCAAAGTACAATGGAATCCTCACTGTATTATACTTTAGTTTGATTTTAGCTTTCTTATTCCCTTTTGGTTGTAAACTAACTTAGATGGAAAATTGCACGGTAATCACTCTTCACAGATTAAATGCATTTGCCAGGCAATGGTAAATGGTGGCGTTGGGAGCTTAGGAGGATGTGTACGTCAGGAACCCCACAGAGACATTGCCTGCATAGCAATACTAACACATTTTTTCTTTATACAAAAATAACTACTAAAATTATGTCCATGAATGTTAGAGGTTTGAATTCCCATACAAAAGGAGGCTTCTGTGGAATGAAGTAAAAACCACAGGTTTATTTTATTTTAAATGAAGTTTATTGAAAATGTGAGTAACAACACATTCAGGCAATATCAATATTGGGCTCAATTGTCAGTAGGAAAAGGTATTTACATTGTGACAGAGAACAGAGATGGTAAGTACAAATGGTATCAGCAAATTCCCGACAAAAAAATAATTTAATCTTGGGCCCAAGTATGTAACAGCAAATTTGGAGATTGAGAGGTGGAAAGAAATATTTTGAATAGGGAAGAAGGAGGGGTGCAGGAGGGCTTAAAAAACTATGTAAAAGGCAAATTTCTATAATGAATATGTGAAGTCATGGCTAGAACATATGGCTTGAAGATTAGACTAGGGCAGATGTCTGTTAGGTGGGCACAGCATTTTGGTCCCAAGCCAGGGGACCCAGAGGACAGCCACCGATGCCAGTAGAACCAGCCTGAGGTATATGTCTGACTATAAACTGAGGCCAACAGTATAAGATCTTCAATCAATTGTATATCTTCTACTAATTATATTCCTGAACCATCGACACTATTCTCAGCCTCCAGAACCTGGAATAAGAATGTGGCCAGTATTTATAAGGTGAGGAAGTAGTCTTTCTTTATTCTTCACATGGAATAGTAAGAGAATGTAGTAAATACACTTCTGGGGAAAATGTTATAGGGAAGCCTGTGGTGAGAGTCGGATGCATGTTCTTCCTAAAGAGCTGTATGAGGGTACATGACAACCAGAATTTTGTGTCATATCCCGCAGAGAAAATGAGTAGTTTGTCTGGTGTTTTGTACCAGTGAGAGAGAGCATCTTATAATGAGAGGACAGCAAGAGGTCACCCCCTGTATTGTTACTATTAGAGCAGGAGGAAGGACACTAGGGCCCTACTTACAGGTCCAGATTAATATAGGGGCTGATGAAGCTGCAGCTCCTTGATTTAAAAATAAAAATAAATAAATATATATATATTTATTTTATTACTCTTCACATGCTCTTGTATGGAAACTTGGGAGGGATGTAGGGGAACAAAAATGGTGTGCACTGTCTGACAATGAAATGAATGAAGGTAAAGCTGACTTTGCGCACTATGCAAATGCTCTTGCTGCTTTGGTCTTTCTAACACTGCGGTATGTTCTCTTTATTCTACACTCACTATATACACTTTTTCTCTGTAACAGGAGCTTCTGAATGCTGGTAAGAAGGTTAGGAGAGGAGTGGACCAGCAAGTGCTAGGGGTCAGTCCTTAGAAAGCGTAGAGCTAGCGCATCGTTAGATGCATTTATGCCAAGCTTACGGTGCTGTCTGCACAGTATGCCCTTGGTTGGTCATCCTGCTTGATTGGCAGGCAGCCTGGCATGCATTAACGCCAGACTGATGATCTAATTCTTTGTGCAGACACTCACTCTTTTTAGGCATGTTTGTCCCTTTGGGCGGTTTTGGTTATGTAATTCACATCAGTGACCTACCCTTTTATCCAGCCCACCGAAATCCTGCTTCACCGGACACTGCTGATAGGGGGTATGGATTTACTTGAAAGACAAAAGCGAGAGATTAGCATAGGGTATGTGTTTTCTGATGGCTATATCCTGTGAGTTTCTCTCCAGCACCACCTCCACCAGATACATGATGATTGGGAGGTATAACTGTTTTACTGTTTTCTGTTGATAAGGTTCTGTAATTAGAACCATCATAATTGTCAGCACCAGGTCCAATGAGCTCTTAATCATCCAGCCCTGCCTCCTTATTATAAATAAGGCCTCCACCCGCCAGAATGGGTGGGAGCCTATAGAGGGGACAATAAGTGTCCCCCACCCTTATTATCAATATTAATGTTTCCACCCACTGACATAGGTAGGGGCCAGGGGAGGGGACACTAGCAATGACTGCCCAGTCACTAGTTACTTAGTAAATTTACCCCACCTGCTGGATTGCAGGTGGAGGCATATAGAGGTACATTACCTCCAATATTGTAATATGGGGATCATATTTACCCCCATAGGATTTTTATTTATTTAATTTTACTACTATAATATGGCGGATGGCTAGCTGCCACATAATTAACCCTTGCCCTGGCCAGCTACCGCATAATTAACGCTTGCACTGCCGAAGGTTTTTAATTATATGCCTGCTAGCTGCTAGGGCTGCCAGTGGATAAACAATCTTTTGTTTTAAATCTAGGCTCTGAGTTTAATGTTCCGAGCCTGGATTTGCCGCATACAGCCTGGATCTCTGCTGTCCAACGGGGATTGGCCCGGCTAAAATCTGAACCAATTTCATTCACTTTTGTGGTCAGAATTACAAAATCCATACATTGATAAATTCTATCAGCGATCCTGTATGCAGCTGGATGGTTTTACCCCATTTGATTTGGGCTCTTTGGACTTTAGTGAATACAACTTTTAGATTTTTTTTTTTTTTTACTGTTCCTTCTCTTTTTCCCTCTCCTAGCTATCCTCCTAGTTATACATAATATCAATAGCACCAATTTTGTTTGTCTAAATCGTTTTCTCGAATATTTTTGCATTCATGATTGTGATGACTCTGCAGCACTCTTTTTTCGGGAGACTGAAAAATGCATTGATTTGTATTATTGCAATATGCAATATTTGTATTTTATTTTTTGCCGTCAGGCTTTTTTTTACTTTATAGAGTTACGTCATGTGATAATACATTTTGGGGGCACTATTAGTCCACTATTTGGGGGCAGTGAACTATAGCATCTTAGCCTTCCTCATTGTTAAATGAAACTTTATTTGAGCTCCCATCTGTCACCCCCAGGTGGGGTCTTGGGAGGGACACTAGGTCCTCCCCCTGAATATTAATATTAGGGGCCCCACATGTTGCCAATGGGTGGGGGCGAGTGTGATAAATATATAATATTCTAATGCCCCCCCTTCTTTTATTAAATAGCCCCACGTGATAACCATATACTCCCCACCAGATGCCCACTAATGTGATCAATTGCTGCTTAGTCAATAGTTTTAGTAAAAATGAAAATCCAGCGTACTCCCTTATCTACTAAACAGCTGACAGATTATGCTAGTTTTATTAAAAATACCTAATCTAGGCCCAAAATAATGGGGGTTTAGTTACATGATATGATCATACATTGCATAAGCCTGCCACAACGTCAATGTACCCCATCTTTGGCAGGTCCTACGCTTACAACCAACTGTCTACTCACTTGGGGAAATCTTTCCATCTCAAGTTCTCTGCAGTACAAGGCTTAAATAGGGTCCTGAGATGAGGCACCTGCGAGAGGGAGGGGTGCAAAACCACTAGTCACTAGTTTTAGACATTTAGTAGACATTGCAGGAGGGGGCATGGAAAGGTGTTATACCTTCCTTATAGTAAAACATGATTAACCCTCACATTGCTGGTGATTATTAGGCACTGCCAGCAGACAAATAGTTCTGTCCAGCTGAATTTCAGACCAAATTCAGGCCAGCTTGGCTCCTGAAATACAAAATCTGAATATTGTTAAACAGTGTGAACTTATGGTTCAAATGCCCCAATATGCAGCCAATGGTTTAGCCCCATTCAGTACAGGGTAATTTGGACTTTAGTGAATAACCCCAAAGACATGTACCTGAAGACTGTTGAGTTTGGTATTAAGGGACTTGATGGGAGTCCTTGAAATTGATGGGCCTGATTATACAATGTAACAACCCAAACACTGAAATGAAGAAACAACAGTATGAAAAGCAATATTCCTACAATTTAACTTGACACCAGCATACCAGGATGTTTAAACTACAAATCCTAGTATGTTGGTCTCTGGAAACATTTGGGGTTTCAACAGCAACTGTTCTAAGAAATAAGTTCGATGGATGAAGCCATGAGAAAATATAATGGAAATACCTGAGCAGTTTGCTGCCACCAACTTCTCCACAATGTTAGGACAAATAAAAAATAGAGGATGTTGTTTTAAAAAAGTTCTGAAAAGCCTAAGTCCCAATGGGAAAACAAGCTTTGTTGTGTAAGACAGTACTGTTTTACTGACGGAGATGATATGGTCTACAATGTCCAAATCTTACAAATGTTTTTCACATATTGTTTACATATCAAAAGCAGGCGAGGGTGTGCAACTTAAAATCTACTAAATATTTGTTGTTTGTTTGTCTGTTTGTTTTAATTTAGTATCCTTCAGGGTGTGACACTGGTTGTATATTCTTGAGCTGTACTTTTTAGTTTTTTTTGGCATTGTTTGTAAACCTTGTTCTACATATATAAATCAAAGATAGCCACAAGAATAACTGCCTATGATAAATTTGCATCAGTAGCTCCACAATAATCCACGTTCAAGGTATATATACAGCTCTATCACAGCATGTACAGAGCACAGACATCTTATATCTGACCATGAATACATTACTGTCTATATGTTGTGCACTGATCTGGATTCCATGTATGTATCAGTTCTGCTTATTAGTCATTTATAATGTTTACTCAGTTTGTTTCTCACATGTATTTTCACTCTCCTAGATGCTGAATCTCAGACACTATTGCTTACACCATCAAACCCTGCAGTGAATGTTGGACAAAGTGTAACTTTTACCTGTAACGTTGGAGTTAAGGATGGAGACTGGGTGCATTTATTAAAACAGATCCCAGGAGAAGCTCCCCAGCTTATTATTTACAATCACCATTCATTTTCTTCTCCAAGATATGGACCTGGAATATCTTCAGATCGTTTTACTTCCTCCATTAACAGTGCGGCAACAGAATATTACTTTACCATTCGTAAAACAGAAATAGCAGACACTGCTCGGTATTATTGTGTGAAGTGGTATGGCAGTAATACTGGATTCCACCGTGCTACACAGTGTGACAAAAACATTGTACTATATTACACTATATAACGTGAACTGTATAAAGACATTCAGTCATGTTTCACTTCACAAGCTGCACCTGGCCCTAGCCGATTCTTTATACACATGCTGATTATAACTAGTGTATGTTTTGTATTTTCTCCTATATTCATACTGTTTATTAAGAAATAGATTAGTCTAAATGCAACAACCTATTTGATGTTGACAGTGTTTTGCTGCTGGTTTATTCTTGACTTAGTTAATAAAAAAAAAAAACCCAGAAAATATTACCATTTTACAATTAAAAAGTCTGGTGAAATTACTTAAACAGATTAAATAAAATCCATTTTTTTTTCTTTTGCCAAAAAGATAATTAATTAAATAACCAATATAAGAACAATTACTAATGTAATCATCTTGTCACTAATATATATAGTGCTTCACCATTACACCAGTGCGAATCTGTGTGAATATAGAAACATAGAATGTGACGGCAGATAAGAACAATTCGGCCCATCCAGTCTGCCCAATTTTCTAAATACTTTCATTAGACCATGGCCTTATCTTATAGTTAGGATAGCCTTATGCCTATCCCACGCATGCTTAAACTCCTTTACTGTGTTAACCTCTACCACTTTAGCTGGAAGGCTATTCCATGCATCCACTACCCTCTCAGTAAAGTAATCTTTGGAAGATCAAATTTTCTCACAGAGATTAGAGCCAGTTGCTGTTCCTGAAATCTGCTGTGTTCCTAAAGGTCTATTTGGATTCAAAATGAGGTAGCAATAGGAATATAAATGTATAATAAAACTAATCTCTACATATGAGCTGAAAATGAAGTATGTTAATCAGGACCAGAGTGGGAAAAAATTCAGCCCACTGAAGAGGAGGGTTTTTTTTCCTCACCAACCACAGCACACCCCCTCTCAAAGTGAGCATGAAAGTTTAATGCTCTTCCAGGGCAGCCCATGCATGGAGACCTGATTAAGAGCCCTTGAATGAGAAAAAAGGCCCTTTATTTGTTCTGCGCAGTGCAAGAAATGTTTTATATTGTATATTCCTGTGTATATCAGGAATGTAGTGTGCGTGTAGGTAGTGCAGTGAGTAGAGGATTCAGAGTTGTGTATAGGATCTATTGTGCGTGTAAGGGGTGTGGAGTATGTATGAGAAGTGTGGTGTGTTTGAGGGGGTAGTATGTGAGTGAGGGGTGCATTGTGTGAATGTGTTGGGAGATATTGTATATAGATGGGGCAGATAAAGGCCTAAATAAATATATGTTTTTTTCTAATTAAAAAAATATACTTTATTTCCCTCCTTTCTTACCTTTGCTCAGGGAGGGGGGATACTGTAAGCTCTGGTGGTCTGATGGTGAATGAACTTTATGCTTGCAGCTCTTCAGGCTAGAATTCACTCTCACAAGATCACAGTGTTGCCATTGGTAACTGTGCCAATGCTTCGACCTTGCGGGAAGAACCCGGCGGAACTACAGGCTAGAGCGACCTGGGTCCTCTACCCTCTCCTATTTACCGTATGTCAGTGCCAGTAAATCGATGAGGGAGGTTTTTTATTTGCAAAATGCAGATTTCTCTTGAAATCAGTACTTTTTTTTTTTTTTACGTAATACAAAGGGGACATGTATACCCCCCAAAACACTTAACCTATTCTGAACAGAATTGATTACTCAGTATTCAGGCTCACCGCCCACATAGTGTAAAATTAAAGAATGAAATCTTCACTTCTGGAACATCTTGAGTAAATAGAATAAACACAAGAAAAAGTCAGTTAGTGTAATACAGAAATTTTAATAAAGTATACACTATCTGACTGTTTCTTCAGATTATTAAACGTTATTAAACTTGCTGGTTCAGACTATTTGTCTGTTTCTCATCCTCAGCCACATTGCCATAGATATGATCTACTTGCATTTTGCCAAGACGTTCAATACAGTTCCACACAATAGGTTAGTTTTCATACTAAAATTGATCTAGATTGACATTCTCATTCTTGGGTAGAATGTTGGCTTAAAGATAGAGTACAGGAAATTATTTATGGTAATTTTTCAAGTTAGACAAATGTAGTAAATTGTGAACCTCAGGGTACTGTTCTGAGACCACTTCCATACAACATATTTATAAATGATCTTAAAATAGGCATTGAATGTTGTGTTTACAGGTGACACAAAACCAGGTAAGGTGAAACAATGTGAGCAGGATATTACTTTGCTGCAGAGGGATTTGCCTGAGAGATAATTGCATGAGAAAAAGCTATAACTTAATTATCTCTCAGGTACAAAACAATATACAATATTTTAAAACATCCCAACAATACATTTGAATAACTTCAGAACCCCACAAAAGTCATATCACCAAATAGGTTGGATCTGAGCAAACACTTTGCCAAAATATATCGCTCAGATCCCTTTGTTGGTTCAGGAATGTCATTCAAATTAAGTTTTGACCGGACGGCCACAAAGTGATGCCCCAAAACAGTTCCAGAGAAAACAAGGCAATGACAGGTCATCTTTCAGGGTTTTTCACACGAACACTGATGAATCCATTCCCTGGCTGTTAGGGTACAAATGCTCTCCCTGTTCGGTAGTTTGTGCCTGTTGAACGCCATTCTCCTAACTGTTCTGGATGTTGCATGGGCAGCAGTACCAGTTTCCCGGGTGTTCGCCGGGTCACATATCTGAAAATAGTTCCACGCCGTCGACGACCATGTACTGCTGCCCGCGTTCAGGAGACAAAATGGCCACACAGGGAAAGCACGTGAACTAATAACAAATTTGTGGTTAACAGCCAGGTGTGGTCGTGATTATGAAGTGCGAACAAGTGGCCACACAGCAAGGAGGTATACTGACAGCCAAACAAAGGGAATAAAAGTATGTTTCGGTTCTCCATTCCGCTACAAATACATAGAATGCAAAGTAGAGCATTTAGACTGGTAGAATGGAGATTTAGTCTAGGACAAAGGAAAGTCTTTTTTTTTTTACCATAAGAACAATAAGGACCTGGAATTCTCTTCCTGAAAAAGTGGATTTATCAGCATCTGTACAGATGTCTAAACAGCAACTGGAAGAATACTTGCAAAAACATAATATTCAAGAAAATACATTTTAATAAGTGGGGTAACAGCTTCTTTATCCAAGGGAAATCTGAGTGCCATTCTTGGGTCAAGAAGGAATTTTTCCCTAGTTTGTTGCAAAATTGGAAACTGCTTTTTATTTGTTTTTGTTTTTTTCACTTTTTAAAGCATTTTGCTAACTGTATTGCTTAGGGTTATTTCAATATTTACATAGGTGGAGTATCTCACAGCAAGTTAGACAACAGCAATACAATAAAATGCAGGATGGGGTGATCTAAAATGAAGAAATAAAAGACAAAATACTAGTGCAATATTGGCTGTATGAAAAGCCAAAATACATTGAATATGTATATAGCACTCACAAAAGTTTAATATGCAGGCATAGTAAGATCTAAATATAAATATATATAAATCTAATTTCCTCCATGCCTATTTTTTTATTATAGCCAACTTCTCTCCAGTCTTTTTTTTTTTTTACTGATTTAATGGCCCAAAAGAATAAACCCTCTCTGTTTTGAGTATGTATAATCTTGAAATGTTGAAAACCACTATTTGTTTCCAGGCCCTTTTTAATATTCCTAATGTCTTCTGCTATTCTAACATTTGTTGCCTTATAGTTCTGCCTTCATACAGGAGGTTGCAGGGGCATTTTAAGATGTATATCACTCCTTTGGAGTGGCAAGTAAGATGATCACTCATTATATATATATATATATATATATATATATATATATATATATATATTGACATTGTGTGTGTGGGATTTCACACATGTGTAGAGTATCACCTATTTACCATTACACACCACCATTTTGTGCACTTTGATTTTTTTAATGTAAATATTTGCTGCTGGCTTCTAGTGCTGACAGTGGGCAGATAATACTTAAAATTATGTAACAATAGTATTCATACTGCTGGATACATTTGGTCCCTAATTAGTTTAAAACTGGTGATTTGTGAATAATATACCAAATCCTATACTTTATAAAGGATTTGGCGATGGCTGCAGATTCACTTGGGTCAACCAAATCCTGACCCTATTTTGCTGTATTAACTATGAGACAAAATCTGGTGTTTAGTGAATAATGCTGTAGTTTTTATTCATTATGTTCAAAGACATAACATTGATTTTATATTTTCATTGTAAACTGCTGTCAATATTTTATGCTTTTTGTCATTATTTTATACCTAGTTTTACATAAAACACAGGTTTTATTATATTTAAAGATATATCACTGGTTTTATTTGTTTTTATTTCAGTTGTGACTCACTCTTTTTGGCGTTATTTATAAACCTTTATCAGAGATAACCATATTCATAACTTTCTGTGATAAATTTGCATCAGTGGCTCCACAATGTTCCAAGTTATCGGTATATATACAGCTCTATCACAGCATGTACAGAGCACAAATAGACACCTTATATCTGACCATGAACAAATTACTGTCTATATGTTGTGCATTGATCTGGATCACATGTATGTATCAGTTCTGCTTATTTGTCATTTATAATGTTTACTCAGTTAGTTTCTCACATGTATTTTCACTCTCCTAGATGCTGAATCTCAGACACTATTGCTGACACCATCAAACCCTGCAGTGAATGTTGGGCAAAGTGTAACTTTTACCTGTAACATTGGAGTTAAGGATGGAGATGCAGCACATTTATTAAAACAGATGCCAGGAGAAGCTCCCTGGCTTATTATATACAATCACCATTCATATTCTTCTCCAAGATATGGACCTGGAATATCTTCAGATCGTTTTACTGCCTCCATTAACAGTGCAGCAACAGAATATTACTTTACCATACGTAAAACAGAGATGGCAGACACTGCTCGGTATTATTGTGTGAAGTGGTTTGGCAGTAATACTGGATACCACCGTGCTACACAGTGTGACAAAAACATTGCAATATATTACACTATATAACGTGAAATGTATAAAGACATTCAGTCATGTTTCACTTCACAAGCGGCACCTGGCCCTAGCTGATTCTTTATACACATGCTGATTATAACTAGTGTATGTTTTGTATTTTCTCCTATATTCATACTGTTTATTAAGAACTAGATTAGTCTACATGCAACAACCTATTTGATGTTGACAGTGTTTTGCTGCTGGTTTATTCTTGACTTATGTTAATAAAAAAACCACCCAGAAAATATTACCATTTTACAATTAAAAAGTCTGGTGAAATTACTTAAACAGATTAACTAAAATCCATTTTTTTTTTTGCCAAAGAGATAATTCATTAAATGACCAATATAAGAACAATTACTAATGTAATCATCTTGTCACTAATATATATAGTGCTTCACCATTACACCAGTGCGAATCTATGTGAATATAGAAACACAGAATGTGACGGCAGATGAGAACCATTCGGCCCATCCAGTCTGCCCAATTTTCTAAATACTTTCATTAGACCCTGGCCTTATCTTATAGTTAGGATAGCCTTATGCCTATACCACGCATGCTTAAACTCCTTTACTGTGTTAACCTCTACCACTTCAGCTGGAAGGCTATTCCATGCATCCACTACCCTCTCAGTAAAGTAATCTTTGGAAGATCAAATTTTCTCACAGAGATCAGAGCCAGTTGCTGTTCCTGAAATCTGATGCGTTCCTAAAGGTCTATTTGGATTCAAAATGATGTAGCAGTAGGAATATAAATGTATAATAAAACTAATCTCTACATATGAGCTGAAAATGAAGTATGTTAATCAGGACCAGAGTGGGAAAAAATTCAGCCCACTGAAGAGGGGGTGTTTTTTCATCACCAACCACAGCACGCCCCCTCTCAAAGTGAGCATGTTGGTTTAATGCTCTTCCAGGGCAGCCCAGGCGTAGAGACCTGCTTAAGAGCCCTTGAATGAGAAAAAAGGCCCTTTATTTGTTCTGCGCAGTGCAATAAATGTTTTATATTGTATATTCCTGTGTAGGAATGTAGTGCAGTGAGTAGAGGATTCAGAGTTGTGTATAGGATCTATTGTGCGTGTAAGGGGTGTGGAGTATGTGTGAGAAGTGCGGTGTGTGTGAGTGAGGGGGTAGTATGTGAGTGAGGGGTGCATTGTGTGAATGTGTTGGGAGATATTGTATATAGGTGGGGCAGATAAAGGCCTAAATAAATATATGTTTTTTTCTAATTAAAAAAATATACTTTATTTCCCTCCTTTCTTACCTTTGCTCAGGGAGGGGGGATACTGTAAGTTCTGGTGGTCTGATGGTGAATGAACTTTATGCTTGCAACTCTTCCGGCTAGAATTCACTCTCACAAGATCACAGTGTTGCCATTGGTAACTGTGGCAATGCTTCGACCTTGCGGGAAGAACCCGGCGGAACTACAGGCTAGAGCGACCTGGGTCCTCTACCCTCTCCTATTTACCGGATTTCAGTTCCAGTAAATCGATGAGGGAGGTTTTTTATTTGCAAAATGCAGATTTCTCTTGAAATCAGTACTTTTTTTTTTTTACATAATACAAAGGGGACATGTATACCCCCCAAAACACTTAACCTATTCTGAACAGAATTGATTATTCAGTATTCAGGCTCACCACCCACATAGTGTAAAATTAAAGAATGAAATCTTCACTTCTGGAACATCTTGAGTAAATAGAATAAACACAAGAAAAAGTCAGTTAGTGTAATATAGAAATTTTAATAAAGTATACACTATCTGACTGTTTCTTCAGCTTATTAAATGTTATTAAACTTGCTGGTTCTAGACTTCATTACACTATTTGTCTGTTTCTCATCCTCAGCCACATTGCCATAAATATGATCTACTTGCATTTTGCCAAGACGTTCAATACAGTTCCACACAATAGGTTAGTTTTCATACTAAAATTGATCTAGATTGACATTCTCATTCTTGGGTAGAATGTTGGCTTAAAGATAGAGTACAGGAAATTATTTATGGTAATTTTTCAAGTTAGACAAATGTGGTAAGTTGTGAACCTCAGGGTACTGTTCTGAGACCACTTCCATACAACATATTTATAAATGATCTTAAAATAGGCATTGAATGTTGTGTTTTAGTGTTTACAGGTGACACAAAACCAGGTAAGGTGATACAATGTGAGCAGGATATTACTTTGCTGCAGAGGGATTTGCCAGAGATAATTGCATGAGAAAAAGCTATAACTTAATTATCTCTCACGTACAAAACAATATACAATATTTTAAAACATCACAACAATACATTTGAATAACTTCAAAACCCCACAAAAGTCATATCACCAAATAGGTTGGATCTGAGCACACACTTTGCCAAAATATATCGCTCAGATCCCTTTGTTGGTTCAGGAATGTCATTCAAATTAAGTTTTGACCGGACGGCCACAGAGTGATGCCCCAAAACAGTTCCAGAGAAAACAAGGCAATGACAGGTCATCTTTCAGGGATTTTCACACGAACACTGATGAATCCATTCCCTGGCTGTGAGGGTACAAATACTCTCCCTGTTCGGTAGTTTGTGCCTGTTGAACGCCATTCTCCTAAATGTTCAGGAAATTGATTGGGCAGCGGTACCAGTTTCCCGTGTGTTCGCCGGGTCGCATATCTGAAAATAGTTCCACGCCGTCGACGACCATGTACTGCTGCCCGCGTTCAGGAGACAAAATGGCCACACAGGGAAAGCACTTGAACTAATAACAAATTTGTGGTTAACAGCCAGGGGTGGTCGTGATTATGAAGTGCCAACAAGGGGCCACACAGCAACGAGGTATACTGACAGCCAAACAAAGGGAATAAAAGTATGTTTCGGTTCTCCATTCCGCTACAAATACATAGAATGCAAAGTAGAGCATTTAGACTGGTAGAATGGAGATTTAGTCTAGGACAAAGGAAAGGTTGTTTTTTTTTTACCATACGAACAATAGGGACCTGGAATTCTCTTCCTGAAAAAGTGGATTTATCAGCATCTGTACAGATGTCTAAACAGCAACTGGAAGAATACTTGCAAAAACATAATATTCAAGAAGACACATTTTAAAAAGTGGGGTAACAGCTTCTTTATCCAAGGGAAATCTGAGTGCCATTCTTGGGTCAAGAAGGAATTTTTCCCTAGTTTGTTGCAAAATTGGAAACTGCTTTTTATTTGTTTTTGTTTTTTTTCACTTTTTAAAGCATCTTGCTAACTGTATTGCTTAGGGTTATTTCAATATTTACATGGGTGCAGTGGCGTCGCTAGGGGGGGGGGCCAGAGGGGGCCATGGCCCCCCCTACATCATGCTGTGCCACCCTTGGGCCCCCCCAAATGTCAGCAACTTGCTGGCCATGGGCTTCCCTCGGACTGTAACAGCCTTTTACAGCCGAGGGAATGCAGGAGAGAGGTGCTGGGGGCTGTCTGTGGCCAGAGGGAGCACTGATTGGCTCCCCAGCACAGGCCCTGCCCCCAAATGAAGCCCCGCCTCCCGCCGATAAGCCCCGCCGTAATGCAGCAGCCCATGCTGCTTCAGAAGATGGCTGCCTGACCCCCAGTGACAGGTAGTCTTGGGGGGGGGGGGTGTACACACACACATTGCCCCCCATACACACACATTGCCCCCCATACACACACACTGCCCCCATACACACACATTGCCCCCATACTGCCCCCCATACACACACACTGCCCCCTATACAGCCTCCCATACACACACACTGCCCCCCATACAGCCTCCCATACACGCACACTGTCCCCATACTGCCCCCCATAGACACACACTGCCCCCGACCTACACACACTGCCCCCATACACACATTGCCCCAATACACACACATTTGCCCCATACACACACACTGCCCCTATACAGCCTCCCATACACACACACTGCCCCCATACAGCCTCCCATACACACACACTGCCCCCATACAGCCCCCCCATACACACACACTGTCCCCATACTGCCCCCCCATAGACACACACTGTCCCCCATACAGCCTCCCATACACACACACTGCCCCCATACACACACATTGCCCCATACACACACACACACTGCCCCCCATACAGCCTCCCATACACACACACATAACTATACACACACACTGCCCCCTATACAGCCTCCCATACACACACGGCCCTCCCTTACAGCCTCCCATACACACACACTGTCCCCATACTGCCCCCCCATACACACACTGCCCCCTATACACACACACCTGCCCCCTATACAGCCTCCATACACACACACTGCCCCCCATACAGCCTCCCATACACACACACCTGTCCCCAGCCTGCCCCCCTTTGACACACGCTGCCCCCCCACACACACACACTGCCCCCCATACACACACACTGCCCCCCATACAGCCTCCCATACACACACACTTTCCTCCATGCCTATTTTTTATTATAGTCAACTTCTCTCCAGTCTTTTTTTTTTTACTGATTTAATGGCCCAAAAGAATAAACCCTCTCGGTTTTGAATATGTATAATCTTGAAATGTAGAAAAACACTATGTGTTTCCAGTCCCTTTTTAATATTCCTAATGCCTTCTGCTATTCTAACATTTGTTGCCTTATAGTTCTGCCTTCATACAGGAGGTTGCAGGGGCATTTTAAGATGTATATCACTCCTTTGGAGTGGCAAGTAAGATGATCTCTCATTATATATATATATATTGACTTTGATTTTTTTAATGTAAATATTTGCTGCTGGC